TAGCTGTGGCGGAGACTGGTCTGTCGGTGGACACAGGAGGGGTAGAGGGAGGCCAGTGGAAGACGGGAGACTAAGAACCTGGCAAAGGACCGAGTCAGGCGGTGGCAGGGACGACTGCGGCTGCGGGTAGAAAAACGGTCTGCGCAGGGCAGTACCAGCAGCTCCAGCTCCTCCAGCACCAGCAGCTCCAACAGCACCCCCAGCACCTCCAACACCATCAGCACCACTAGCTCCGGCAACGCGAGGACCTCTAGCACCAGTAGTACCTCCAGTTCCAGCAGCTCCAGTAGCACCTCCAGCACCTCCATTACCAGCAGTACCACCTGCTCCGGCAGCTCCAGCACCAGCAGTACCTCCAGTACCTCCACTGCCTGCAGCTCTAGTTGTACCTCCAGCTCGAACAGCACCACCAGCTCCGGCAGCTCCAGCACCTCCAGTACGAGCACCTCCAGGGCCAGCAGCTCCAGCACCTCCAACACCAGCTGTACCTCCAGGACTAGTAGGTCCAGCACCTCCAGCACTAGTAGCACCTCTAGGACTAGTAGCTCCGGCACCTCCAGCACCAGCAGCACCTCTAGTATCTCCAGCACCAGCAGCACCTCCAACACCTCCAGCAGTACCTCCAGTACCTCCAGCACCAGCAGTATCTCCAGGACTAGCAGCTCCAGCACCAGCAGGACCGTACCCTCCACCACCAGGACTGCCTCGCCGAACGATCCACGCACGAATCGCCTGCGGCGAGAGCGTCTCAAGTAGGTCAGGCTGCGGTGGCTGTCCAGCTCCAGGACCTCCAGTAGGGTCACCCATAGCTCCACCGCCACTAGGACTCGCAGGACCCCCAGAGTCAGCACCCCCAGTCGCAGCACCCCAAGAACCAGCACCCACAGTCATAGCAGCCCCTGAAGCAGCACCCCTCAAACCCTCACCCTCTGTCTCAGCACCCCCAGGCTCAGCACCAGCAGTCTCAGCTCCAGAGTCCATAGCAGCAGGCTGCGGAGGCAGCGAAGACGGCCGAGGCGGAAAACCAGAGGGGGTCTCCGAGCGTGGAGAGCGGCGAGTGGCCGCCGTGTCGTCAGCGGCAGGGTCACCCCCCTCAGCTGAGCTAGAGGAGTCAGAAGAGACCTCCAAAGGCTCAACCAAGGGGGGTGGGTCTACCTGAGACACACCTGAGGGAGCAGGACTCTGTGGGGGGGGGGACTGGTACCAAGAAAAGAGGCGCTAGGGGGACCGGGTGGGACGCGTGCGGGTGGAGCCTGTAGTAACAGACAGACTCATCAAGGGTAACGTCCTGGGAGGAGAAGACTTGATGCGAGCGCGGGTGGTAAAACTGCCACGGCAGGGCATCGGTGGGGAAGCCAAGGAAGACGCAGCGGAGAGTGCGAGAGGAGAGCTTGTTTGCTTTGGCATCGCGAACAAGGGAGAGCGCGCCCTAGACCCAAAACACCGACGCATCGCCAACCTTCCCCGTCCACCGGAGTGTGGGCGAGGTCTCTGGCTCAGAGACACGGGGCCAGAGGTTGAGCTGATGCGCATCGTATCGGACCGCAAATGGCCACAGAAAATGGGGAGCAGCCGCATGGATCATGGAGGTACGAGCAACCTCCATGATCAAGCCAATGCGATGCTCAGCAATCCCATTTTGCTGAGGAGAGGCCAGAAGTGTGAGCAACTGGACGATGCCCTCGTCTCGGCAGAACTCCGCAAGGAGGTCAGAAGAGAACTCACCGCCCCTGTCAGAGTGCAGACGCAGGACTGGCAAGTTCCGATTGAACCGCTCGCGCAGCTGGCGACGAGTAGCACGGATCCAGGGGATCAAAACACCGCTGACGTCCGCCTTGCGCCGCAAGGGGGAGACAGTGGTGTAGCGTGTGTAGTCGTCAACAACCAGCAGGAAGTAGCGCTCCTGGTCCGTTCCACCGACGGGGGCCGGGCCCCACACGTCCATGTGGATAGTCTGTAGAGGAGCAGTGGTCGGAGGAAACTCGGAGGAGTGAGGAGCGGCGCACTGCCGCCCCTCAACGCAGGGCAGGCACGGCGGAGCAGGCGAGCGCGGGAGGGAGGGCAGGGAATTGGGAAGGCCAGAGACAAGGAGACGGGAGTGCATACCGCGGAGACGCGGTAGGGAGGGGTGACCGAGGCGGTGGTGCCAGAGGAGAGTCTGGTGGGAGAGTACCCGACACGAGCAAGACACTGCAAGCTGACTCGACGCAGCCACCTGACCTGCCTCAGCCACCTGTGCAGACGCAGTGGTCAGTGTGTACAGACTGGACCCAGGTAGTCGAGTGAACGTAGCAAGGTGACGGCCAGTCCGAGAGCACGTACAAATCGCCACACGCTGTCCTCCATGAATAAAGGTATCAACCTAGACATCCTGAATGGCAGCGTTGCTCACCAAGTTCGTCGAGAACGTGGGGAGGTGGAGACCTGACAGAGAACCGGAGGGGACTGCTGGACACGGGAGGACAGTGGAGGCTCGTGCGACTACTTGGTCCCCAGTGGGGTCAGCCAGTGAGACCGGTACCGGTGCAGCTAGTGGTGTGAGTGAGGTGCAGGCACGAAAGAAGCAACGTGACGCGCCTGAGTCAAGTGTGAAAGTGTGCAAGGCCTCAGCTGAGGAAGGACTTGTGGCAGGAGACTCACGAGCACCTAAAGCTGCAGCAGACTCACTCGCACCTAGTGCTGCAGCAGACTCACTAGCACCTAGTGCGGCAGACTCGACAGAACTAGTGACACATCGCTGAGGAAACAGCTCACTAAGCACCTGAGGGGAGAAGGTCTCCTGTTGACTCTGCTGCCACCTCTGTGCAGTATGTAGAAAACTAAAGCCTCCACCACCTGGACGGGCTCGCTGAAGAATCCACTCGCGAAGCTGCTGAGGGATGGGGTCGTCTGGGAGAGGCAGTGACCGCCGCTGTCCACCCCGAGCCGCTGCAACTGCCATGATAGTGGCCATGACAGGCAGTGACGGTCAGTAGTAGGTCCAGCACCTCCGGCACCAGCAGCAGCAGTAGCACGAGCAGCAGTAGCAGCAGGGCGGCGCAAGCAGGGCGGCGCAAGCAGGGCGGCGCAAGCAGGGCAGCAAAAGGGCGGCGAGCGGGCTGCCAGAGGGCGGCGAGCTGGCCGCAAGGGCGGCAAGTGGGCCACAGGGGCGGCAAGCGGGCTGTAGGGGCGGCGAGCGGGCTGCAGGGGCGACACAGCGGCCAGCAGGGTGCGATTCGGGCAGGAAAAACGGCCTGCCAAGGGGTGCGATTCGGGCAGGAAAAACGGCCTGCCTAGGGGCGCGATTCGGGCAGAAAAAACGGCCAGCCTAGTGGCGCGATTCGGGGAGGAAAAATGGCCTGCCTAGGGGCGTGATTCGGGCAGGAAAAACGGCCTGCCTAGGGGCGTGATTCGGGCAGGAAAAACGGCCAGCCTAGTGGCGCGATTCAGGCAGGAAAAACGGCCAGCCTAGGGGCGCGATTCGGGCAGTAAAATGGGCAGAACGGAACTAACGGTGGGCCCTAAACGAGTGGTCCTACATATGGACCTGCTCTGAAACCATGTCGATAGAACTATGCAGGAATGATTGGATTAGCAAGAGTTGGGGTACAAGTACTAACCCTAGAAGTGCTGTACCCCATAAGGACTGCCCCACTATAGCCTACAAGTAAGATTGTACTTTGACATGATCCTGGGTACGATCAACTGCTGATCGCAGCAATAATTTGCTAACAACTCCTTTTGTATTATAAAACCCGGTTCTCCACTGATTTACTGCAATGGCGTCCTTCATCAGATTGAATGCCTAGCTGAGCCATTTCAAGAATTTGAGTTGGTATAGAATCTATCATAGAGAAGTGAGAATTGTAACACGATGGTGGAACAACAGTCGCGACAGTGACTTCGCGGCGGCGACTGGCTCCAGTTTCTCCACATGACCCCACCGCAGTTGTCGGTGACTGGCGGCGAGGCGATGCGCATTGCACCTCGAGAGCATTCCCCCTTCTGTGACTGCTAGTATTGGCGTACGTGGCACTTGATGATGACAGCACGATGTGCATGCTCCACAAAGCCTAGTCCAGACACTCGGAAAATCGTGTTATTTTGCTTTCTGTGCACCTGGCAGGTGCTGTGACGAAGACGCCGACTCAGACTGCATTCACGCGGACGACCAGAGGAATGAGGCGGCTGCTGGATGAGGATGATGATGACCATCATGACAGAGACGACGACGATAACGACCACGACGACAGCTTCAGTGACCTGAGCAAATGCGTGGTGAAGTTTAAGCGTGCGGTGCAGTGGTGCATGGTGAAACCGATGAAGGACGATTGTGGCAAGCAGGCTTATAAGGCGTACGAGGAGTGCAAGAGCAGGACCTGATCTTGCAAGGGGAGGGTGGTGAGGAGAAGGGCAGCAGCAGAAGAAATAAAGGGTCAGCAGCACATCAGAGTGATGCGGAGCTGTAGATGCCAGTGTTCAGCTGTGGAGGTCGCTTGATGCATCATAATAGCAATTACAGAGGCAGCAGTCACTCTGCTTTGTGAAATTGCAAAAATATTGACTACACACACTTGGATGGTCAAGCCAACTCTAATGTCCCTGATCTCCTCCTGTGACACTCCCTTGATTTCAATCTCGCAATGATGAACAATTGCCATGAACATTAACCACACTGAGCAAGAGTAAAGGTACAGTACACCCCTTATGATACTCAGGAGCCCCCTATTTCCTCCAGTGACAATCCCTTGGTTTCAGTCACGCAACAATAAATGAATGTAGTGGACATCAAGCACACCAAGCCAAAGAAAAGGTACACCCCGCCAACCCCAACCATAGCTGTCGCCGGCAGAAAAAAACATCCAACGAAAAAGTTGCACACCTGAAAACAAAATGAACAGAATAAAACGAACGCGGCAAAGAAAAGCCTCTCAGAACAAACAAACAGCCGGGCAGAGCCAAAAAAAAAAAAAAAAAAAAAAAAAAAAAAACAAAAAAACAAAAAAAAGCAACCAACGTACCCAGTTTACGGGCATGCTGAACGCCACCCCTGCAGCTCGCACTTGCAAGGGGAATATCTCCGGAAGCAACAGGCTGGGAATGGGGCCCACTCCACAGGAGAATGCTGTCACATACCTGTCAATATGTCAGGATGGAAACATATAATAACTCATATTTAGTAAAGAATACGGTTGTAACGATGGAGAATGGAAATGTATTGGTCCTGGTAAGGAGTTCAGGCATGCTACAGGGCATGATGGCATTGGGAACATGCCATGCCATGGTGCATACTGTTAGAAACTAAATTCACGTATCTTCATCTTTGCACCATTTCCTGCTTGCCTTCCCTTGAGAACTTTGGTAGTATCCACGAGTTGGTGTTCCGAAAAGATAGAGCAGAACAAATGCAAAAGCCTTACGTGATTGTGCCGATAACAGAGAGAAGTGGCGCACAGGGTTGCAGGAGAGGCAAGGACAGGACCGCCGAGAGAAACAGCATGGAGCAACCCTGAAGCATACACGGGTGGGATGGGAGCTCAATGGAGCATACCAGGGAGGGGAGGAGAGGGGAGGGGAGGGGAGAGAAGTGGCGCATGGGGTTGCAGGAGAGGCAAGGAGAGGACCGCCGCGAGAGAGAGCATGGAGCAGCCCTGCAGAATGCTCATCCGTGGGATCGGCGGGAGGTCAAAGGAGAATAGCAGGTAGGGGAGGGACGGGAAGCGAAAGAACAGGAGAGGCAAGGATAGGACTGCTGAGGAAAGAAGCATGGAGCATTCCTGCAGCAGGAGGTGACTCTGCAGAGTGCTCATCCATGGGTTGGGTGGGAGCGAGGTGACTCTTGAGTCGACTCAAAAGTCACAAGGATAGGACAGCTGAGGAAAACAGCATGGAGCATCCCTGCAGCAGGAGGTGACTCTGCAGAGTGCTCATCCATGGGTTAGGTGGGAGATCGATGGGGCGTACCAAGGGAGGGGAAGGGGGGGGAGGGGGGGGGGAGGGGAGGGGAGGGGAGGGGGAAGAAGTGGCATTGCACTGCACCTCTTTCAACTGCATCGAACCATATCGTGTTCCCGTACCATGCCAAGGAAGGAGAGCAACAGAAGGGGCTTTCTCCCTGCCGAATCCACCAGACGAGCAGCCAGCAGCACAGCTGGTGGGGAGCCGGATAGAACAGAACAGCGATAAAAGAGAGGAATGAGAGGCGTGGAGGCGGCAGCAACAGTCAAACGATTCCTGCCGAATCCACCAGACGAGCAGCCAGCAGCACAGCTGGCAGGATGGAGGAAACGAGAGAAACGAGAGCAGCGGGAGAAGTAAGAGCAACAAGAGAACAGAAGAGAAGCACATGGGAGAGACATTGGAGGAGATGAGGGTAAGTTGGAGAAAACGTTCTGAACATTGTGAGCTTGAAAACGTATGCCAGGGAAGGAGGCCCACCCACACATACCTGAGAGCTTGAAGAGTGCGATGAGAGCAGAGACAGCGATTCCCCAGGAAAAGGCAGCAGAACGGAAGACGTGAGAGGAGATGCACTTGAATTACATAGATGTTATGAGGGTCCTCACACCTACCTGAGAGCTTGAAGAGTGCGATGAGGGCAGAGACGGCGATTCCCGAGGAGAATCCAGCAGAGCGGAAGACGTGAGAGGAGAAGTACACGACTGCGTTGATTCCCGAGAACTGCTGCAGTGCGAAGAGTGCTGCGCCAAGGAGCAGCACTGGGAGGGGGAAGGGGAAAAGATAGTTCGAACACGTGCGAGGAGAAGTAGACGACTGTGTTGATGGGAGGGAAGGGGAAGCGGGATGGAGGAGCGAAGGGGGAGGCAAGGGGGGGGGGGGGGGGGGGGGGGGGGGATGAGTAGGGAATGGTTTGAGAGAGCTGAAAAGGAGGGCTGTGAAAAGGAAACCTCGTCCCCACCCCTCACCTCCTCCCCCAAACCCCTCATCTCCTCCCTATTCCCTCACCTCCTCCCCACCCCCTCACCTTGTCGGTATTTTGGATGGAAGAGCGAGGCAGAGGCAGCAGGGGGCGGAGCAGAACCTTTGCTGTTGAGCAAAGGCATGTGCAGGGTGGTGGTGGCGCCTGTTGCATGATGAGCAGCAGCAGCACCAGGAGCAGCAGAAGCAGCAGCAGCTGGCGAGGTTCGGGTAATGCTGGTTGTTTCTAGTGCTGGCTGTGATGATGCTGATGAGTATGGGTGGGATGGCTTCATTGCTTCATGTGGTGTCGCGTTCGCTGGTTCTTGTGGCGGGCGTGCTGACATCAGCGCTGTTGGTTGTGCTGACGTGAGTTCCTGTAACACTTCTTCTGCCCCCTCCGTTCCTCTCAGAATCACTGCTGCTCGTGCTGCTGCATGCATGCTGTGGTGCTGGTGAGAAAGAACGGACAGGCAGAGATCAAGAGAGGAAATTGGAAGGGTAGGACACGCGGAGGGAAGGAAGCGTGGGATTTGGAGCAGAAGTGTGGGCACCGGGCATCACTGCAGGAATAAACAGTAACAGACGCAGGTTGGCGTGCATAGGTTCGAATGGAGTTTTGAGACGTCTCAAATTTTGACTTTGAGACGTCTCAAAACGTGCATACGTTCGGATGGATCTCAACGTACCAGAAGTAGCCAGCGGGGGGTCTCTGGTGCGGCCAGTGCCATGCCCAGCAGCAAGAGGCAGGGAGGCAGAGAGCCGAGGAGAAACATGCCACGCCACCTGCATAAATAGAGGCAGAAATTCGAGTGCAGTGCGGTGGCGGTTTTGTGAGGAGAAGTCACAAAAGCCGTCTGATTGCATACATGCGTGCCACACCGGCTGTGAATCTCGCTACAGAGCAAGCCGGCCAGCAGAGCAGAGAAGACGCCAGTGCTGGTGGGCAGCAGCAGCGAGAATGACTGACTTTAGTGCGGTGCAATGCGGTACCGCAAGCAAGAGGCAGGGCACGCACGGTCAGGATAACATGCATCAACATGCAGCGAGTGGTGTTGCTCTTTGGCAAGCCCGCCAGCAGGGCAGCGAAGACGCCAGTGCTGGTGGATAGCTGTGAGAATGACTGACTTGGAATGCGGTTCAATGCGGTACTGTGAGCAAGAGGCGTGCACGGACCATGCCTCACCAGCTGTGGTGTTGCTCCAGAGGTAAGCCGGCCAGTAAGGCAGAAAAGACGCCACCGGTGCTGGTTGAGAGCTGTGGGAATGACTGTTTTTGGTGCAGTGCAATGTGGTACTGTGAGCAACAGACCATTATGGTTAGGAGGTCACATACATCCATGTCTCTCACCAGCTGTGGTGCTGCTCCAGAGGCAGGCCGGCCAGCAGCGCAGAGAAGACGCCCGTGCTGGTGGATAGCAGTGAGAACAATTGACTACGGTGCAGTGAGAACAGTTGACTACGGTGCAGTGAGAACAATTGACTACGGTGCAGTGAGAACAATTGACTACGGTGCAGTGAGAACAATTGACTACGGTGCGGTGAGAACAATTGACTACGGTGCAGTGAGAACAAATGACTACGGTGCAGTGAGAACAATTGACTACGGTGCAGTGAGAACAATTGACTACGGTGCGGTGCAATGCAGTGCCACGAGCAATAAGCAGGGCACGGTCGACATTGGATACATGCATGCCTCACCAGCTGTGGTGCTGCTCCAGAGGCAGGCCGGCCAGTAAGGCAGAGAAGACGCCAGTGCTGGTGGAGAGCTGAGCTAACGTGCCCCAAGTGCCGCGAGAAGAGGTGGGGGTTACCTGCGGTGGGGAGCGGTGGGAGCAAACAAGACAAGGGGCGGCGGCACAGAGGAGAGGACTACGTATAAGGTTCAATGTGACACTGGTGCCAGCAGGAGACGCCTCCCTCTGTGCCTTATACGTAGGACAAGGGGAGGCACAGAGGAGAGGAAAACGTGCAGGAGACGCCAGTGCCAACGTGCCCCACGTGCCGCGAGCGAGAAAACGTGGGGGTTACCAGAAATAAGGTGGGGGGAGAGGTTGGGGGAGGAGCTGCAGGGCAAAGGCAAGAAATCTGAGTCATTGATGCTAGCAGGATTTGAGACGCCATTGCTGGTGGAGAGCTGAGCCAACCTGCCCCACGTGCCCCGAGATGAGGTGGGGGTTACCTGTGAGAAGGAGAGAATGGGGGTTATGGGGAAGAATGAGAAGAGGAGAGCTGGGCCAACGGGCCCCACCTGCCCCGAGATGAGGTGGGGGTTACCTGCGAGAAGGGGAGAATGGGACAGAGGTGAGAAATTGGTGGGAACAGGGAGAGGGTAGGGGTAAGGGGATGAGGATATTAAAAAGGAAACTGGGAAAATACCTCTGATGAGGATATTTGAAAGTATACTCCCAAGAAGAGTAGTGAGCAATGCATGGCAGGGTGTGTGTATTTTCTGACAAAGAAGAATTTAAGCAGGGTAGATCAAGAAGTACCTCTGATATGTAGAGAGGAACTGCGCCAGATACGATTCCCAGACCAACCCCAACGAGCGCTCGACCAATCACCATGTGCCACGTGGTAGATGCTGCAGCACTGCTCTGAAGCGGGGTGGGGGAAGGGAGTTTGTACGCTGAGGTCAGTGCGGTTGAACGAGGTTCAATGCAGTACAAGGACGTGTGAAGAGGTGCAATGATGTGAAATCGTGCGTGAAATAGAGAGTGGGATTAAGTGCAATGGAATGGAGGGAATGTTCAATGTAAGCAACGGAGGGTTTACTGTGAGCAGGGAGGGAGCGAGAGAGACACAGTTTGGAAAACAATAATTGTTTAAAATACTCGAAACACATACTTTTTAAACAAGGGGGCACCAATCATATGAATCAGATATTCTGCCTCCGCCCCTCCCATCCAACCATCATGGCCCCCTCTTTCCCCACTCCCACCCATGTTTTCACTCCCAACAACCCCAACCCCTTCCCCGCTCCCATTCGCCCATTAATCACACCTGAACAATTCTCCCCACCACACACCTGAGCAACGATCCAGCAATGAACGGCAGGGATGCAATCTGAAACGCTCGCCTCCTCCCTGCCACGTCAGCAAGCCATCCCCCCAGCGGCGCTCCCACTGCTGCCACCGCCAATGGGATGCTCACAATCAGGGCTGCATGGATGGGTGGCGGGATGAGAGGAAAGGAGAGAACGAACAGAGAAAGCACAAACAGAAAAGTTGTCAACTGAGCAAGCCACCCCCCCCGGCGGCGCTCCTACTGCTGCCACCGCCAATGGAATGCTCACAGTCAGGGGCTGCATGGACGGGGGCTCACAACCAAAATGGGAGAGGGGAAAACAATAGGACAGAGAAAGGAAGATGGGACGGTGCATAGGGAGGGGAGGGACAGCCAAACCGGGAGAGAGAACGGGATAGTGGGCCTAACACATATGTGCTACTAAACCACATGCTGCGTCCATGCTACTTACTTGCACACGACTTACTCAAAAGCTACTTCTGACTTACATGCTGCCATGCTGGTTGCAGGTTGGTCCAGGTCAGCAAGGAGGAAGGGCAGAGATGCGTTGATGATACTGAGATAGCGGAAGGGAAAAAGAAGCGATACTGAGTGAGGCAGGGAGGGGATGGAATGGTGAACGCATGGGATACAGTGGCATGTGACAGAGAGAAGGAAGGGCAGAGACGCGTTGATGATACTGGGTCGGGCACGAAGGGGATGGATCGTATGATTTGTGATGGCGAGAAGGGACAATGACTGTTCGATTAGCAAGGAAAGATGTGCCATTTGATATGTGATTGATGGGGAGAGACATTGACTCGAGGCAAGGAACAGGAAAGGAGATGGCATTGTTATGGGTAATACAGGCAAGGGGTGTGGCACAGAGAGGTGCAGTGTGGTAGAAATGGCAAGGGCACTGCAGTAACGGGTTTCATATAGCATGTGAAGCCCACTATTGAGATCAACATCAGGCATGCTACAAATAATATTATGAACAGAGAAGGATAAAACAATGGGAAAAAAAAACAACAACAAAAAAAGGAAGAGTAAAACGGTACCCGACATGGTAACCGAAGGAGAGAGCGCCACAGCAGGCAAAGAGAACAGGCAGCGCCACCCCCACCCCTCCGTACCGTCCCTTCCCCACTGCTCTCCTCCCCAACCCATAACTCCCTCCTCCCAACACTCGGCCCCAAAACACGCCTTTTGATCCTTTTCTCTGGTAATTAAACGGCTCTGTAGCTGCTTCTGGCACTGGAGTGGGCGTGGCTTGAAGCAGAGTTAATGGGGGGGTTTCAGAGGAGTGAGGGTGCGTGAGTGGAGGGAGCGAGAGGGGGGCGTGGCGTGGATGTAAGGGGAGCGACGCTGCAAGAATGAGCTTGTGGAAAGGTCGATCCTCCTCGGGAATTGGCTGTCCATCGCCATTGGCTGCCATTCATGAGTGAGTGGGGTGGGAGTGGGGAGGGAATGCGTGGAGGTAAGGGGAGCGACGCAGCGAGAATGAGCTTGTGGAAGGGTCGATCCTCCTCGGGAACTGGCTTCCCAGCGCCATTGGTTGCCATTTCTGTATGCACCCATTATGCACCCATCCATCATCATACAATCATGCAATCATGGATGCATCCATCATGCACCCATCCATCATCATGCAATCATGCAATCATGGATGCATCCATCATGCACCCAGTCGTGCCTACATGCAAACATCAACCCACCATTCCATCCATGATCCATCCAATGTCCCACCATGAATCGATGCATTCATGCATCCAAGAGAATACACAGAAATTCGTTAAGCAAAGCAAAACTGATCAGGGAGCTGGTAAGGATCACATGGCGGGAACATTCATATTCTTGATCCAAGAAAATTACAGACTAATCGGCGAGCTGTGCGGCGATTAGCTAGTAGTCGTTGGGTCAGTACCTCCTCCTATTCCAACCGAATGACTAATGGCTGTCGTTCTGTGCCTCGCAGGTGCTGCAAATTCTCGGCTGCTGCTGCTGCTCGAAGCACCTCTCGCGTTATCGATGCTGCTTCCAGCGAGTACATCCCGAGGATTGCCATATCTCATGCTTCTGTCGCAATCCCCTCCCACGGTCTCCGCTTTCTGCGATAACCCTAGTTCCAAAACGGCAAATGTTGCCTACAAAGCTAAACACAGGTGTTTCTAATGGCTAAATAATGAACAAATGGACTCGGCCTCATATCACACAACGAATTCAGAGTTTGCGTACGCCAGGTTTATGAATCATAAACTCCGGTTAAATGCGTTTCTAGAACATGGACTCCACAAATGAGGAGCTGAGTAATGGTCCTCTCTATCAACTTTCAAGAATGTGTGTGTGGGTTGGGGGGGTGGTGCTGGCGGGAATCTGCAAGTCCTCGCTGCAGTCAGTCGCACTCCAGTGCTTCTACGTTGTACACCTCATTTGGGCTTCCCCCTGAACAAATTGGAATATATATTGCACTGCCTGCGTCAGCAGGCCACCTGCCTGGAGAACATCGCCGATGGGAGAGGAAGCATGCAGTGTGTGCAGTACCACGTCCTTCTGGAGTGGAAAATCACGTAACGGACGCACGTGATTCACTGTCGCCCTTTGCCCATTATAAAATATATGTATATATGTATATATTTCCAAATAGGAACGGGTGACAACCTGCAAGGAATTTTCTCGCTATTCCTTACCGCGACCGTCCACATCGCGTACAGCAGCAGCCGTTGTTCGCCCGTTGCTACTAACGGGGCTTCGCCAACTTCGCGCGCACGGGGCTTCGCCAACTTCGCGCGCACTGTTTCACCAAACATCGAACTGCTGGAGCAGCCGAGTCGGCCTACGCTTCGGGACTAGCCCGAACCTCGCGCCAACGTAGCACTAGCTAGCTCACACGCACCGCGTTACCGTTTGCACATTTTCGCGTATAAGTATTCGCTCATGCCTTTGCTCATAATTTTGTACTCATTGAATACTCTAGTGCAATCCTCGCTACCTCGATTCATTGCACCCGTAGCACTTGGTTATCAGAGCCACTTTCTTTCGGACCGTGCATCTCCGCACCCCAGGAAATCAACTTTTGTTTTTTCACTCGAAGTGACTCATGCCCCTTAGCACCTAGGAGCCGCTGTCCTCGCGTTCTCTCGTAAACGCGTGCAGCCACGAATGCGCCTAGACTAAGCTGAGTCGACACCCTTCGTTATGGCTGAACATATCGACGTCACGACGCTCACGCAGGACCGTTTGAACGAGCTACTGCAACAACTCCACGAAAGCTCTGAAGAAATCGCGGCACTGACGGCCGAACGCACGTCCCTGCAAAATGACGTCGCACGAGCACAGCAAGCACAATCGCAAGCACCTGGCACTCCGGGACAACCTGCACCACAGGCATCACAGCACGGAAGTGTGGGGCAACCCGCGAGCGCGGCCAGTGATGGCGTCGTCCGCCACGACGGAGACGATGACCACGGCACGACATACCCCGAAGCGACGAATGCGGCCAGGAGCCAGCCTCGCATCACGATTTCGGCACCGACCAATGATTCGGCACTGCCGTCACCGATGCCGTTGAAGCCACAGCGTTCGCCATGCTTTGACCCGAGTCAACGGGGTGGTCCTACCGTTCAGGCGAGGTTGTTCACGTTGAAGCATTTTTTTACGCCAACTACGTCTCGGAAGATACGACGAAGATTCGCTACGCCGTTTCGCTGCTGCGAGGATCCGCTATGGACTGGTGGCACGTCATCGTCACGAAGCAGATGGACTACGCGACTCTACCGACACGGGAAGGACAAACCGGACCCTGAGCGCCGTCGTATTTCGTAGAGGTGCCCCAATATCGCACGTGGGGCGTGTGGTGCGTAGGACTGCGCGCTCGATTTGAGCCAATTGCGGCTCCAATCGCGGCGCGTCAGAAGCTCCGCACTTGGCGCCAACTCAGTTCCGTCCAAGAATACACTAGCGGGTTCCTAGCGCTGTGTGAGCAAGTGGGATACATGTACGAAAGCGAGCGCATCGACCGTTACATCGGCGGCCTGGGGCGTGATATCGCCCAATAAATTCAGCTCCGCGGCGTCACCGACTTCCAGGAAATTCTCGCCATGGCGGAGAAGCTCAACTTCATTCGCTGACCGAGGCCGGGGTCCTACGAAAGCAACAGCAACTAGGGACATCGATCTCGTGGGACGAACGAGGGTGCCACGATACGTGCCGTCGCCGCGAATGCCACTGCCGCACCGTTCAAAGGGCGCTGCTTCGCGTGCAATCGGCCGGGACACCGCAAGAGCGAATGCCCAGAAAACGCTAAGGGAAAGGGGGAAGCTGAGCAGCAGAAACAGACCAAGCAGCAGGGAAACGCTGGGATTCAGTAGCAGACGGGCCCTCTACTGAAAGGTCCCGCCGCTCGCCCAACCCAACCGACCCTCACCGAGTGATTGTGCCGGTTCACGCAATCGACCACACCCGGCCGAATAAGGAGGGTACTACGGTAGGCAGCCCCATACTGCTTAGCGGGAAAATTGGGACAGACTTAGCTAAAATATCGTAGACAGGTGAGCTCGCCACAGCCTGATCAACACCGCCACGGCACGAAAACTGAGACTGCCACTGGACAGATGTTTACGTGAGATCGACGCAAGACTGGTTGACGGCACGTCACTGGCGATACGGGAACGCATAGACCGGGTTGGGATTCGATGCTGGGGTAACTTCACGTTTAGCCAGGAAATGCTCGCGACAACCCTCGACGGAACCGACATTTTACTCGGCTGTGATTGGCTGCGACGACACAATCCACGAATCGACTGGACGACGGGTGATTGCACCGTGCGAGTGAACGGTAACAACATCGCCTTACTTCGCTGGGGCTCGCCTGAGTCTTCGTCGGTGCGTGTCAACGCGATCACGATGAAACGCGCCGTAGCGGCAGGAGCTGACGTGTACGCGGTCGACATTCGGGAAGCCAAGGCAGCAGACAAAAGGGGGGATTTACAGAAACTACTAGCCAACGTACCGGATGACTTGGCAGCACTACTGTGTGAGAATCCTAGCGTGACTTAGGCTTAGGAGCCATAGCTAGGTTAGAGTGTCGAGAGGATTGTGCAAGGGAGAATCGAGAAAGAGATGGTTTCACTATAGGAAGTTAGGATACAAATAGCAAACCCTAAATTGGGTTTTACTCACTACAGAGTACCCCACTGCAGGCTAAACAGCAAATACATTCTGACACACCCCCATAGTCAAAGTGGGGTATAATCAGCAGAGCAAGCAGTCATAGAGCAGGTTCACAAGTACAAGCAAAGCTAGAGGCATTCACAAAGGGAAAGTGAGGAGGAGGAGGCTGGACTGTGAGAGGAGAGGAGATAGGAGGTGACGGCTGATGCTGCAGACACACGGGCAACAGGAGCGGCGTGCACTGTGGCTACCAGGGCCGTATCCCCGGACTACAGGAGTAACTGGCTCTGCGGCTAACTCTGAGCGGCAGGAGCAACGGACCCACAGGCGACAGGCGCAGCAGGCTCTCTGAGCTACCAGAAGCAGAGCCCCGGACTACAGGTGCTGCGGACGACAAGACGGCAGCCTCCGCTCAACCTCCCCTAACTGTCCCACCCCCCTTACACACACCCCTTGCTGCACCCCTAGCTCCACTCCCACGTCACCCCCCTAGCACCACTCCCTCGGCTCCCACACACCCACCCCCCTCAGCGGCAGCTGCAGCAGTGGGAGACGGAGGAGGAGGAGGAGCAGGGGACGGTTCACACACCCGCCACCCCCATACCCGCCACCCCACAGTTGCACCCACACCCGCCACCCCCACACCCTCCCCCCACTGCTGCACCTGCAGCAGGGGATGGAGGAGAAGGGGGCGGGGGGGGGGGGGGGGGCTAGTGTTGTAGATCCCCTCCCCCCCACTGCTGCACCCGCAGCAGGGGGAGGTAGGAGAAGGGAGGGGGGGGGGGGGGGGGGTGGGGCGGGGGGGGGGGGGGCGGATGGGGGTGGGGGCTGGTGCTGCAGATCCCCTCCCCCCCACTGCCGCACCCGCAGCAGATCCCCTCCCCCCCACCGCGACAGCAGGACGCGCCACACCCGCCACCCCCATACCCTCCCCCCCACTGCTGCACCCGCAGCAGAGAGAGGGGGGAGAAAGGGGGGGGGGGGGGGGGGGGGGGGGGGCTGTGCATGGCGCGTGCAGAGGGCAGCAGGGTGCACGGGGCGCACAGGGCAGTAGGGCGCGCGGGGCAAACAGGGCAGCAGGGCGCACAGGGCTGCAGGGCAGCAGGGCGCACAGGGCTGCAGGGCAGCAGGGCGCGCGGGGCGCGCAGGGCGCGCAGGGCAGCAGGACAGCAGGGCGCGCAGGGCTGCAGGGCGCACGGGGCGCAGCAGGGCTGCAGGGCTCGCGGGGCGCGCAGGGCAGCAGCAAGGGCTGTGGCGGCAGCAGCAGGGCAGCAGGGCGCACAGGGCTGCAGGGCAGCAGGGCGCACAGGGCTGCAGGGCAGCAGGGCGCACAGGGCTGCAGGGCAGCAGGGCGCACGGGGCGCGCAGGGCTGCAGGGCGCGCGGGGCGCACAGGGCTGCAGGGCGCGCGGGGCGCACAGGGCAGCAGGGCAGCAGGGCGCACAGGGCTGCAGGGCAGCAGGGCGCGCGGGGCAAACAGGGCAGCAGGGCGCACAGGGCTGCAGGGCAGCAGGGCGCACAGGGCTGCAGGGCAGCAGGGCGCGCGGGGCGCGCAGGGCTGCAGTGCGCGCAGGGGGCGCAGGGCAGCAGGGCGCGCAGGGCGCACAGGGCTGCAGGGCGCGCGGGGCGCACAGGGCAGCAGGGCAGCAGGGCGCGCGGGGCGCAGACAGGGCTGCAGGGCGCGCGGGGCGCACAGGGCTGAAGGGCAGCAGGGCGCGCGGGGCGCAGCAGGGCTGCAGGGCGCGCGGGGCACGCAGGGCAGAAGCAAGGGCTGTAGCGGCAACAGCAAGGGCTGTAGCGGCAGCAGCAGGGCAGCAGGGCGCACAGGGCTGCAGGGCAGCAGGGCGCGTGGGGCGCCCAGGGCTGCAGTGCGCGCAGGGCACGCATGGCAGCAGGACAGCAGGGCGCGCAGGGCGCGCAGGGCTGCAGGGCAGCACAGGGCTGCAGATCCCCTCCCCCCCACCGCTGCACCCGCAGCAGGGGGATGGAGGAGAAGTGGGGGGAGGGGGGGGGGGGATGATGCTGCAAATCCCCTCCCCCCACTGCTGCTGCAGATCCCCTCCCCCCCACTGCTGCGCCCGCAGCAGGGGTGGAGGAGAAAGGGGGGGGGGAGGGGGGGGCCGGTGCTGCAGATCCCCTCCTGCCTCCCTCTGAACCTCCAAGCTCCCCCCCCCCTCCCAACACAAGGTGCGGCAGGGAGAGAGAGAGGAGAAGGGGGCGGGGGGGGGGGGGGGGGGGGGGCTGATGCTGCAAATCCCCTCCCCCCACTGCTGCTGCAGATCCCCTCCCCCCCACTGCTGCACCCGCAGCAGGGGTGGAGGAGAAAGGGGGGGGGGCGGGGGGGGGCTGGTGCTGCAGATCCCCTCCTGCCTCCCTCTGAACCTCCAAGCTCCCCCCCCTCCCAACACAAGGTGCGGCAGGGAGAGAGAGAGGAGAAGGGGGGGGCGAGGGGGGGGCTGATGCTGCAAATCCCCTCCCCCCACTGCTGCTGCAGATCCCCTCCCCCCCACTGCTGCACCCGCAGCAGGGGTGGAGGAGAAAGGGGGGGGGGCGGGGGGGGGCTGGTGCTGCAGATCCCCTCCTGCCTCCCTCTGAACCTCCAAGCTCCCCCCCCTCCCAACACAAGGTGCGGCAGGTAGAGAGAGAGGAGAAGGGGGGGGCGAGGGGGGGGCTGATGCTGCAAATCCCCTCCCCCCACTGCTGCTGCAGATCCCCTCCCCCCCACTGCTGCACCCGCAGCAGGGGTGGAGGAGAAAGGGGGGGGGGCGGGGGGGGGCTGGTGCTGCAGATCCCCTCCTGCCTCCCTCTGAACCTCCAAGCTCCCCCCCCTCCCAACACAAGGTGCGGCAGGGAGAGAGAGAGGAGAAGGGGGGGGCGAGGGGGGGGCTGATGCTGCAAATCCCCTCCCCCCACTGCTGCTGCAGATCCCCTCCCCCCCACTGCTGCACCCGCAGCAGGGGTGGAGGAGAAAGGGGGGGGGGCGGGGGGGGGGGTGGTGCTGCAGATCCCCTCCTGCCTCCCTCTGAACCTCCAAGCTCCCCCCCCTCCCAACACAAGGTGCGGCAGGGAGAGAGAGAGGAGAAGGGGGGGGCGAGGGGGGGGCTGATGCTGCAAATCCCCTCCCCCCACTGCTGCTGCAGATCCCCTCCCCCCCACTGCTGCACCCGCAGCAGGGGTGGAGGAGAAAGGGGGGGGGGAGGGGGGGGCTGGTGCTGCAGATCCCCTCCTGCCTCCCTCTGAACCTCCAAGCTCCCCCCCCTCCCAACACAAGGTGCGGCAGGGAGAGAGAGAGGAGAAGGGGGGGGCGAGGGGGGGGCTGATGCTGCAAATCCCCTCCCCCCACTGCTGCTGCAGATCCCCTCCCCCCCACTGCTGCACCCGCAGCAGGGGTGGAGGAGAAAGGGGGGGGGGAGGAGGGGGCTGGTGCTGCAGATCCCCTCCTGCCTCCCTCTGAACCTCCAAGCTCCCCCCCCCTCCCAACACAAGGTGCGGCAGGGAGAGAGAGAGGAGAAGGGGGCGGGGGGGGGGGGGGGGGGGGGGGGCTGATGCTGCAAATCCCCTCCCCCCACTGCTGCTGCAGATCCCCTCCCCCCCACTGCTGCACCCGCAGCAGGGGTGGAGGAGAAAGGGGGGGGGGCGGGGGGGGCTGGTGCTGCAGATCCCCTCCTGCCTCCCTCTGAACCTCCAAGCTCCCCCCCCCTCCCAACACAAGGTGCGGCAGGGAGAGAGAGAGGAGAAGGGGGGGGCGAGGGGGGGGCTGATGCTGCAAATCCCCTCCCCCCACTGCTGCTGCAGATCCCCTCCCCCCCACTGCTGCACCCGCAGCAGGGGTGGAGGAGAAAGGGGGGGGGCGGGGGGGGGCTGGTGCTGCAGATCCCCTCCTGCCTCCCTCTGAACCTCCAAGCTCCCCCCCCTCCCAACACAAGGTGCGGCAGGGAGAGAGAGAGGAGAAGGGGGGGGCGAGGGGGGGGCTGATTTTGCAAATCCCCTCCCCCCACTGCTGCTGCAGATCCCCTCCCCCCCACTGCTGCACCCGCAGCAGGGGTGGAGGAGAAAGGGGGGGGGGAGGGGGGGGCTGGTGCTGCAGATCCCCTCCTGCCTCCCTCTGAACCTCCAAGCTCCCCCCCCCTCCCAACACAAGGTGCGGCAGGGAGAGAGAGAGGAGAAGGGGGCGGGGGGGGGGCTGATGCTGCAAATCCCCTCCCCCCACTGCTGCTGCAGATCCCCTCCCCCCCACTGCTGCACCCGCAGCAGGGGTGGAGGAGAAAGGGGGGGGGGCGGGGGGGGCTGGTGCTGCAGATCCCCTCCTGCCTCCCTCTGAACCTCCAAGCTCCCCCCTCCCAACACAGGGTGCGGCAGGGAGAGAGAGAGGAGAAAAGGGCGGGGGGGGGGGGGCTGATGCTGCAAATCCCCTCCCCCCACTGCTGCTGCAGATCCCCTCCCCCCCACTGCTGCACCCGCAGCAGGGGTGGAGGAGAAAGGGGGGGGCGGGGGGGGCTGGTGCTGCAGATCCCCTCCTGCCTCCCTCTGAACCTCCAAGCTCCCCCCCCCCCCTCCCAACACAGGGTGCGGCAGGGAGAGAGAGAGGAGAAAAGGGCGGGGGGGGGGAGGGGGGCTGATGCTGCAAATCCCCTCCCCCCACTGCTGCTGCAGATCCCCTCCCCCCCACTGCTGCACCCGCAGCAGGGGTGGAGGAGAAAGGGGGGGGGGGGGGGGGGGGGGGGGGGGGCTGCTGCTTCAGATCCCCTCCCCCCCACTGCTGCACCCGCAGCAGGGGTGGAGGAGAAAGGGGGGGGCGGGGGGCTGGTGCTGCAGATTCCCTCCTGCCTCCCTCTGAACCTCCAAGCTCCCCCCCCTTTCCCAACACAAGGTGCGGCAGGGAGAGATAGAGGAGGAGGCGCGGCGGCAGCTGCTGCTGCTGAGGCACATCCGCCACCCCCTCACACCCTCTCCCCCCCGTCCCCATGGAGGAGGGGGAGGGGGGGGAGGGGGGCGGGGGCGGAGCTGCGCGTGCGACTGCAGGGCACGCGGGCAGGAAGTCATCACCCCTCTTGCCATAGCTAGGGGCGACGAGGCCAGTGGGGCCGAGGGGCGCGGCTAGGTACGGGGCCGGGCGCTGGGCAGGTACGGGGCCGGGTGTTGGGCGAGGAATGGGGCCGGGCGCGGGGCTAGGTACGGGGCCGGGCGCGGGCTAGGTACTGGGCCGGGCGCGGGCTAGGTACGGGGCCGGGCGCGGGCTAGGTACTGGGCCGGGCGCGGGCTAGGTACGGGGCCGGGCGCGGGCTAGGTACTGGGCCGGGCGCGGGCTAGGTACGGGGCCGGTCGTTGGGCACGGAACGGAGGCCGGGCGCGAGGCTAGGTACGGGGCCGGGCGCTGGGCAAGGGACGGGGCCGGGCGCTGGGCAGGTACGTGGCCGGGCGCTGGGCAGGTACGGGGCCGGGCGCGGGCTAGGTACGGGGCCGGGCACGGGCTAGGTACTGGGCCGGGCGTTGGGCTAGGGACGAGGCCGGGCGACGGGCTAGGTACGGGCCGGTCGCGGGCTAAGTGCGGGCCGGGCGCGGGCTAGGTACGGGCCGGGCGCTGGCCGAAGGACGGGGCCAGGCGCGGGCTTGGTACGGGCTGGGCGCGGGCTAGGGACGGGGCCAGGCGCGGGCGAGGTACGGGCCGGGCGCGGGCTAGGTACGGGGCCGGGCGTTGGGTGCGGAACGGAGGCAGAGCGCGAGCTAGGTACGGGCCGATCGCGGGCTAAGTACGGGCCGGGCGCGGGGCGACGTAGTCGACGGGGCTAGCGGGGCCGAGGGGCACAGCTAGGGGTGACGCCAAGGGGCGACGGGGCCAAGGGGCCGAGGCGACGGGGCCAAGGGGCCGAGGCGACGGGGCCAAGGGGCCGAGACTAGGGGCTAGGGGCGACTCCAAGGGGCGACGGGCCGGGGCCTAGGCTAGCAGGGCAGTAGGTGGTGGGCCCATTAAGATTAGGTCCTAGAAAATTGTTGCTCTGATACCATGTGAGAATCCTAGCGTGACTTAGGCTTAGGAGCCATAGCTAGGTTAGAGTGTCGAGAGGATTGTGCAAGGGAGAATCGAGAAAGAGATGGTTTCACTATAGGAAGTTAGGATACAAATAGCAAACCCTAAATTGGGTTTTACTCACTACAGATTACCCCACTGCAGGCTAAACAGCAAATACATTCTGACATACTGAAGCAGTACAGTGGGATTTTCCCGGATGACCTGCTGACAGGACTACCACCTCAGCGACCGCACGACCACAGGATAGAGTTAGAACCGGGGGCACAACCGGCAGTACAGCCACAGTTCCGAATGACCCAACCCAAACTGGACGAACTAAGGAAGCAGCTAGATTACCTGCTCGAGAAGGAATTCATTCGCCCGAGTTCGTCACCCTTCGCAACACCGATACTGTTCACGCCGAAAAAGGACGGGGGTTTTCACATGTTTATCGATTACCACGCACTGAACAGGGTTACTATCAAATCCAGTTACCCCATCCCACGAGCCGACGATCTGATCGACCAACTACGCACAGCCCGGGTTTTCTCGAAAATTGACCTTCGAGGAAGCTACCACCAGATCCGATTCAACCCACCCGACTGCCCGAAAACAACTTTCCGAACACGCTACAGATCCTTCGAATACACCGTCATGCCCTTCGTACTGACCAACGCCCCTACAACCTTTCAAATGACCATGAACGAAGCCTTCCGCCCGCTTTTAGATCAGTGCGTCATCGTGTTGTGAGAAAGATTGACGAAAGAAATTGAGAAAGGATGATTGCACTAGAAAGCAATTGGGATACATATAGAAAACCCTAACAGGGTTGTACTCACTACAGAGTACCCCACTGCAGACTAGAGAAACATAATATTCTGACACACCCCCATAGTCAAAGTGGGGTATGATCAGCACAAGAAGCAAAGCAAAGCAAGCTCAGGGTGGATCACAATGTCACCACACATTCTGAGCACAAGTACAAGAAGTAACAGTTTAAAGTTCACAATACATAAGCAAAGCTAGAGGCTATCACAGAGGGCAAGTGAGGAGGAGGAGGCTGGACTAATAGGAGAGGAGAAAGGAGGCAACAGCGGAAGCTGCAGACACACGGGCAACAGGAGCGGCGCGCACTGTGGCTACCGGAGGCGCACCTCCGGACTACAGGAGTAACTGGCTCCGCGGCTAAGACGAGCGGCAGGAGCAACGGACCCACGGGCGACTGGCGCAGTGGCATCACTGGGCTACCGGAAGCGCACCTCCGGACTACTGGCACTGCTAGCAACACGACGGCTACCTCCACCCAACCTCCCTCTACTGCCGCACCCCCCATTCACACACCCCCTGCTGCACCCCTAGGTTCACTCACACTCCACCCCCTAGCACCACTCCGTCGACTCACACACACCCACCCCCCTCAGCGGCAGCTGCAGCAGTGGGAGACGGAGTAGGAGGAGGAGCAGGGGATGCCACACACCCGCCACCCCCATACCCTCCCCCACTGCTGCACCTGCAGCAGGGGATGGAGGAGAAGGGGGGGGGGGGGGGGGGGGGGGGGGTGCTGTGCATGGCGCGTGCAGAGGGCAGCAGGGCGCACGGGGCGCAATGGGGCTGCAGGGCGCGCGGGGCGCGCAGGGCAGCAGGGCGCGCGGGGTGTAGCAGGGCTGGCGGGTTGGCCACACCCGCCACCCCCATACCCTCCCCCACTGCTGCACCCGCAGCAGAGAGATGGTGGGGGGGGGGGGGGGGGGGGGGGGGGGGGGGCAGGTGCTGCAGGTCCCCTCCCCCCACTGCCGCATCCGCTCCAGGGGGATGGCAGATCCCCTCCCCCCCACTGCTGCACCCGCAGCAGGGGGAGGGAGAGGAGAAAAGGGCGGAGAGGAGGGGGGGGGGGGGGGCTGGTGCCGCAGATCCCCTCCCCCCCCACTGCTGCACCCGCAGCTGGGGGGAGGTAGGAGAAGGGGCGGGGGGGGGGGGGGGGGGGGGCAGGTGCTGCAGGTCCCCTCCCCCCCTCTGCTGCTCCAGGGGCCAGGGGCCAGGGGCGGCTGCTGAGGTCCAGGAGCAGCTGCACCAGGGGTGGCTGCTCCAGGGGCGGCTGCACCAGGGGTGGCTGCTCCAGGGGCGGCTGCACCAGGGGCGGCTGCACCAGGGGCGGCTGCTCTGCACCAGGGGCGGCTGCTCCAGGGGCGGCTGCACCAGGGGCGGCTGCACCAGGGGCGGCTGCTCCGACGCGCGGCCCCCCCCAGGTCGCCCCTCCCGTCGCCTGTTGAGGCGACCTGAGGGGGCGGGGGGGGGGGGGGGCCAGGTCGCCCCTCCCGTCGCCTTACGAGGCGACCTGGAGGGGGGGGGGGGCGCGCGCAACCGCCCCCAGGTCGCCACGTAAGGCGACGGGAAAGGGGGGGGGGCGGTGCGCGGGCCCCCGGTGCGCCGGTGCAGGCACGAGGGGGGCGGGGCCTGGGCAGGGTCGGGGCATGGCAGGGGCAGGGCCGCGATAGGGCCGCGACAGGGTCGGGGCAGGGCCGTGACAGGCTCGGGACAGGGGCGGCGCCGGGCGACGGGGCCGATACGGGGGGGGGGGGGGCGCGACGGGGGCCTGCGAAAGGGGGGGCCGCGACGGTGGGCCGCGACTAGGGGCCGCGACAGGGTCGGGGCAGGGCCGGGGTCGGGGCAGGTCCGGGACGGGGCCGCGACAGGGTTGGGGCAGGTCCAGGACAGGCCGCGAATTGGCCGCGACGGGCCGAACGGGCCGCGAAGGGGCCGCTACAGGTCGTGAAGGGGGGCCGCGAAGGGGCCGAACTGGCCGCGAAGGGGCCGCGACGGAGGCCTAACGGGCCGCGAAAAGGGGGCCGCGACGGAGGCCTAACGAGCCGCGAAAAAGGGGGCCGCGACGGGCCTAACGGGCCGCGAAGTGGGCCGCGACGGGTCGTAAAGGGGGCCGCGAAGGGGCCTAACGGGCCGCGAAGGGGCCGCGACGGGGGCCTAACGGGCCGCGAAAGGGGCCGCGACGGGCCTAACGGGCCGCGAAGGGGGCCTAACGGGCCGCGAAGGGGCCTAACGGGCCGCGAAGGGGCCGCGACGGGGGCCTAAGGGGCCGCGAAAGGGGTCGCGACGGGCCTAATGGGCCGCGAAGGGGGGGGCGCGAAGGGGCCTAACGGGCCGCGAAGGGGCCGCGACGGGGGCCTAACGGGCCGCTAAGGATCGTTAAGCGCAGGCGCGACGCGCGCCTCGGGTAGGAAAAAAAAGGTTTAGTGTAGTCGTGGTGGGCCCTTGGAAGGATCGATATGCTCTATACCATGTGAGAAAGATTGACGAAAGAAAATGAGAAAGGATGATTGCACTAGAAAGCAATTGGGATACATATAGAAAACCCTAACAGGGTTGTACTCACTACAGAGTACCCCACTGCAGACTAGAGAAACATAATATTCTGACACGTGTACCTCGACGTCATACTGATTTACAGCCAAGACAGAGCACAGCACCTACAGGACATTGAAGTAGTTTTCAAAATACTGAGTGAGAACCGCCTACTGACGAAAGCATCTAAGTGTGAGTTTTTACAGGACAGACTGGAGTTTTTGGGACACATTATTTCAGCTGAAGGAGTGGAAATAGACCCGAAGAAGATCGCGACGATTCAAGCATGGCACGCGCCGACAAACTTGACCGAGTTGCAGAGCTTTTTGGGGTTCGTCAACTACATGCACCGGTTCGTCCCTGACATGGCGAAGTTGACTGCTCCGTTGACCGACCTGCTAAGGAAGGGGGTTGAGTACACGTGGGGGGAGAAAGAGCAAGCAACCTTCTCGGCCCTCAAACAAATTTTGTGCTCGCCGCCCGTGCTTCACATCGCAGATCCGCACCGTCCGTTCGAGCTCGTCACTGACGCAAGTGAGATCGCCGTGGGAGCTCAACTGTTGTAGGACTTCGGGAACGGCCTCCAGCCAATCGCATACGAGTCCCGCAAGCTGCACCCGCCCGAACGCAACTACCCGATACACGACCGCGAAATGTTGGCGATCGTGCACGCGTTCAAAGTGTGGCGATG